CCTCAAGATCTACTGTCCTACAGATTTTAGATGCATCCCTGCTTCAACACAGCTGAATCAAATGAATGGCTTGAAAAGGTAATCAATCATTTGATTCAGCTGTGTTGAAGCAAGGATGCATCTAAAATCTGTAGGATAGTAGATCTTGAGGAACAGGGTAGGAGACCACTGTCCTAGAGGTTCTGAGTTCAAGCCCCACTCCAGGTCCCTGAGCAACCTTAACCCCCACACTGCTCCCCGGGCGCCGCACAATGGCAGCCCACTGCTCCCCAATAGGATGGGTTAGATGCAGAGAGTGAATTTCATTGCTTTGTACTTGTGACAATGCAATGACAATAGAATTGCACTCTTTTATTCTTCTTTGTGCGTTATAAACTGGCTGAAAAGACATCATGGTATGCATCCCAAAAAAAGTTTACATTTGGTTAAGAAGTGACGGGTGAAATACTGTAACATTCATTTTGTTGAAAAGACGTTGATAGCCCAACTTTCAAAAACTATTATCGGACTAAATTTAAACCACATTGTACGGGCTAAACACGACCATATTTTCAAAAACTGTATCTGGACTAAATCAAGACTTTGGCAGGATGACCAGATTTAGCCATAAAAATAATGTCTAGATGACGTCTGGTGTTTTTAGGGTTGATGACAAGTGTCCAAACAATTTCTTTAGGTCCAACACAGCGGGAGAGGAAATTTCTACAGAATCAGATCCAATCAAACATAAGGTAGACAACATCAATGAAACAGAGGTATAAATCTACACTAGTTATGGGAGAAGTACTGAAACTGAAAAGAGAAATTTTAAAAAAGACTGAAGAGAAAGTCCAAGAACAGACATTTGAGTTTGTGTTTGATAGTAACAGTAAAATCTATGGCAAACAAAAATTAGAAATATATCCCAACTTGGGTAATGCTGCCTGTTGGTTCTTTTGCTTTGTTTCTGTCTGCAAGTATCAAAAGTCAGTTGTTCAAAACTTTGCTGTCAGCGCAAATAGGAAAACTGCTCATTCAGTCGTAAATAGGGTGAAAAAAGCGAAACCATCACATATATCTGTATCTAAAGTTAAAAACACAATATATACATTCATTACACATAATTGACAAAATTCCAACATTTTATCCTGTATTTTTGATAATTGTCATAGATAATGCAGAAATAAGCTCCCAGAATGATGCTTGTACTTATATTGACATTGGGAAATTTGACAAGAAAAAATAGCTTTTTTCGTGAACTTTAAACAGACTTGAATGTGGGTGTCCATAGG